GGTAAACTTCGGGGCACATCAGGAAAGCCCGGGTGGGCGAGATCTGGGGCCCTGGCAAAAGCGGTGCGTGATCTCCTGGTTGAGCGGCGGCGGGTACAATATGGTTAAAAAACAAACTCAGGTTTCCTAATACTCCTATTATCAAAGCAAAAACAAATCAAAATGATTCTGTGTCCACGTTTTCTACAAGGTCTGCCATTTCTTACTACTATCTTGCCTCTCTTTGACCTATACTTTGCTTCATGGTCTATCCTAAGAAAAAGAAGCATACAGTAAGCATTATGGCTCTAATACTAGTAACAAACATATAAAGGCATCTTGGGATGAACATAAGCAATATGGTCTTATAAACAATAGCATTCCATAGTACAGACAGTTATATTTCCATCTTCTATATGTAGTCTTTGAAGAAGGAGATTCAAAATCTGTGCAATGTTAAATGACCAAGTGAGGTGTAACTTTATGACAAAAGCCAATACTTTTATTCATGAACATTGTTGTTCATATAGTCCACTAATGATGTAGAAACATCATCAAACAAATATGTCCTTCATAGGAGTCCTACTATTAAGTTTCTGATTGGAACAAGTTATGTATTTTAATGTGTGTGTGTGTGTATATTTTTCTCATTTACATTTCATACATTTAAAGTATAGCAAAATATTTTCAAATGCATTGTGCAGAGTTCTAAATAGGAAAGGAACTAAATAGTAAGGCAAAAATGTTAATTTCAAGCTTGTAAGAGAGTGTAAAAGCATTACAAAATAAAATTCAGGCTACAAAAGTTTAGTGTCCTTTAAAATCTTTCTTTGTGATCTTTTATATTATTCTGTTGCTTCTCAATAACATTAACAATTCCCTACTTTCTCTACTTGAAAAGTAATAAAATACTATATATGAGTCTCATGAATTATTTTTACTATTTTCTTTCGTACAGATTGATAAAATAATAAGTTCCATAGATGCTGGAATTAACACTGGGCTAGAAGAAATGAATGATCATATTGCAAGTAAGAAAGAACCTTTATTTTCCTTTATAAAAAGTATTATTTAAGGTTTTGATACTATGTAGGAAATCGGTGCTAGAATTTTGCTAAGTAGCTTAATATGTTGAAATCATGCTATGCATTTTAATACTCACTGCTGGATGCAATTCAGTTTACCTTTACAAATAGTATATATTTGTTATTTTTTTTTAAATTGCTATATTAAACCATTAATGTTTTCTTGTAACCTTAGCAGAGAAAAAGTTCTGCAAATATCTCCGTAATAAAACTTTAATTATAACAGGGAAATTGGTCAAAACTCTTTGCTTTTGTGGGAACTTAACACATACAGACAATAGCCAGCAACAGCTTTAAGCATCATGTTATTCAACCCTGCTTGAAGCAACTCTTTGACACAGTTCTAAAAATGGTGTTGACAGCCAGGCTAAGTACAGACAGCAAAAAGCCTGAGGCTGAATCAATTCAGTCTTTGCAGGTTAGTCTAAAATGCAGAGATTAAAATGAGAAACAACTGGACAGAAATGCAGCCATACCTGTAGTGGTTCAGGCCAGAAGCCAGGGGGCACTAGAGCATAGCTCTCTAGCACACAGCCAGCATAGGCTGTATGTTTGCTTCCTCTTCCTGCTGCCCCTGAGGTCTCTGGGATTTAGAGTCTATAATTACAGCAGCAGGACTCTGCAGTGGGTTGCTCATCACTTCCTCTTCCTGCTTCCAGGTGCCTCTGAGATTTGTAGTCCACAGTTGCAGCCAGCAGTAAGTTTTTAGCAGGCCAGAGCAGGGTAGCGCTGTATTCAGGGGAAGGGGGGTTTAGCCCCCCCCCGGCCCCAGGACCCAGCTGGGGATTGCGCGGGGGGCACTCCCTGGGCTGGAAAGTATGCTGGGATGCTGGGAGACTGTGATTTGAACTTGAACCAGGAAGGGGTCTGGGACAGAAGTTTCATAAGACAGTTTGACCGAAATCAGTTAAGTCTAATACTACATTCTACCAGGTGTATCTTAAACCAATTTCAGTCTTTTTTAAACTAGTTTGTGTGCACTGAACTTCTGTTCTATTACAGGTTTAAACCAGTTTCTGATGACTTAAACCAGTTTATGTGTAACTTCTGTCCCTTGCCCCTGTTACTGGTCTAAGCAATGCTATGACTTTTTTTCAGTTTTTCCCTAGTATATACAAAATGGACAGATCTAAATCATAGCTGGCTTGTTGGTATGTATACAACTATGGTGTTGAACTAAAAGATCAGAATTTAGAAAAAAATGTTACTGTATCATTTGTGAGGGAGAAGAAGAAATAATGTTGCACAGTTGAGTATTTTTATCTTTATAAAAGGACATGGAGCCACACCACAGTTCGAAAATTCCCATGAATTCTTCTGTAATGTAACACTGTGTATTGAGTGGGAATTTTGCATCCTGTAATTTAAGTAAAATAAAAATATATACAAGCTAGTTATTTCAAGGATTGAATTTGGTGCCTACATTGTAGGAGGTTGTTCATTTTATCTACTAGACATAAATAAATTAGGCTATTTTTACTCAGATAGTAAAAAAAGGAAATCTAAGAAATACAATGTGAAATGACAGACTTGAATGCAAATATAGTTACAAGTACAGGACATATGCAGATTTGTTTCTAGAAGAAAGGAAGGAGAAATATGGTGAAAAATGCCAGGCATCTTGTGCTGCCTAAGTTTTTCCTGTTCCTGAAATTAATAATGCTGTAAAGGGGAACTCTGGGTAGAGAAACTGGAGATTACAAGGTGGCTTTCTCTTAAATCATGGTGTGGCTTTGTTTGTCATGATGTTGATGCATATTTTTGTATTATGGCAGAAATCTTAGTCAAAACCAGGCCCAGAAGAAAAGGATAATGGCTACAGAAGAGAGGATAATAAAAATAAAACTAATAGGTACAGAGAGTTTCATAGATTAATCCGTGTACAAATACAATCCTCTTTCTTCTTTGGAAGAGACATTATTTTTCTTCTGAATTGTTAAGATGTATCACATAAGTTTCCCAACAGCTCTTGTTATAGAATACATGTGCTTTTTGTCTCATCTGTGACTTCTACTATTCCGTACATTTTTTTTTCTTGGCACTCAAGCACGACATTTGGTTTTCCAGGTCTTTCAATTGGTAAGTGTTCTATTCTTTCTTTTCACTCTCCTTTTGCAAAACAGCTCCCTGTGAATCTCAACTTTTTTTCCTTCTGATTCACCTAACTTTGTTTTTTTACCACTTTGTCATTCCTTGTCAGTGGATATCTATCCTTTGATGTTCTGCTATCAGAAAAATCAGAAATCTACAAATAAACAAAGTAAAACTATGTTTTTAACTCTAATCTTTAATGCATACAAATACCTCGTTAAAGAAGCATCTCTCTAATGGAGCTGACTATAGGCAGCATCATAAATATATTTTTCACTTTTCATTCTTATATACCCTGTTGCAACAAACTACAGCCCAAGCAGTAAATGAAGGAAAATCCATGATGATTACCAAAGACCCTGAGTTTTACAGTAATACATCGAACTGTGACCTAGTAGTAGTAAATTCTGGAAAATGAACTAACACCTATCATGCCTTGATTGAATTCCACAATAGATTACATCAGGGGATGCCCTCTCCTGTAAGAAACATACCTTGAAAAGTCTTTAGGTAGATAGTTACACTTTAAAATAGGCAAAAAAAATTCTGTGACTTCTTTGCATCTTCAGTAATGGCCCTTTCTTGTGCTGTATTCAAGAAATAATATAAAGTAAAAAAAAATCCTAAAAAAATGACCAGCTTGCCTTCATGTTTCTAGGGCAGGGAGGAAAAAAATTGCAGAGTAATCCTGTATATCTAAAAATCATACATAAAATGGGCAAAATGTCATTGTGGAATTAAACAAACAATTCTTACTGTATACAAGAAACCCTCGCTATTTGTGGGTTCGGCATTCGCTGTTTCAAATATTCATGAATTCTGAACCCGCATTTTAAATACATTTTATGCACTTACAGGAGCTCCTTGGGAGCTCCACATATGCTGCTGCTAGGCTCCTGCCACCACCTCTGGGCTCCCGCCACCACCTCTGGGATCCCACTGCCACTGTGTCCCCATCCCCCACCAGATGCTGGGGGCACTGCATTCATGAACACAGACTGCATTCATGAACATAGTACCTTATTCGTGGATTTTGCCATTCGCGGGGGATATGAGAACATATCCCCCGCGAATGGCAAGGGTCACGTGTACTTTAACATTCTGAATTATTTTCTATAGGCAGCTGATATAATTCTGTATCTACTTCCTGTAATGAAAAAAAGTTTTATCATTATTATTACTCTTTTTAGTACTGTAGAATCAATACAGCTAAGTAACTAAGATGAATTCTACTCCTTTTGGGGCCTAATTGAGAATTCTTCCTTTAATTTCAATCTTTTAAAATTGTCTGTAAATCCACTGAAGAGTGCATAAAATTAATTAGACATGTCAGTTGAAGACACTTGAGTTGCAAATACAAATGAGGACTAGAACTTAAACTGGTAAAGTTTGTTAATGCCTGGTGGTAAGTTAGAAAGAATTCAGCTTCAATTTCTGGTTGAGTTTTAAACACTGACAACAATTTAAAAAAATACTAAGGTAATTTTATCAGAACTTCTTGAGGAAAAAAAAGAAAAACAAACTCCTTACTTCATACACCATTGTTATATTCCTTGTTAAAGATGGAACTGTACTTTGTGAGTACATTTACTCTAGGAAGAAAGGTGTGCTCATATTTTAGAATCCCAGAAGAGTAGGACTGGAAGGGATCTTAAGGAATCATCTAGTCCAGCTCCCTGTTTAAGGCAGGGTCGTCCCTGCCTTAAACAGGGACGACCCTGTTTAAGGCAGGGATGAGACAAATGGTTGTCTAAGGTGCTCTTAAAAGCTTTCAACACCTCCCTGAGTAGCCTGTTCTAGTGCTTAACCACTGGAAGGTGAGAGCGTTTTTTCTAATATCTAAGCTAAATTTCCCATCTTGCAATTTAAGATCATTACTCTTTGCAAAAAAGTCTATCACCGTTCTTTTCATAACTACCGTTCCAATATTTGAAGACTGTTAATACATCTTCCCTTGGTCTTCTCTTATCCAGTCCCAGTTCTTCCAACATTTTTGTCATGTTTCCTAGACTTCGAATCATTTTTTTACTCCCTGATTGACTCTTCCCAATTTATCCGTGTCTATCTTGAAGTCCGTTGCCCAGAACAGAACACCGGGTGAAACTATACCAGGTGCCTAGTAGAGTATAGAAGAATTGTTTCTCTTGCCTTGCAAATGACATTCTTGTTAATGCAGCCCAGCATGCTATTGTTTTGAGGTTTTTTTTCATTTTAATAAGGCAGTGTGGTATTGCCAATTTTTGTAAAACAAGAGTATACTGTTGGCTCATTCAGCTTTTGATACTTATCCTGTCGACTGTGAACACAGACAACAATTGATCATTATTCTCTTTATATCAACCCTTTTTTGCTTTTGAAGACTATTGCCAAACTTGTCTTCTCTTTTCTAGAGTAAATAATCCTACTTATTTCATCCTTTCCTCATGTCTACTTTTCTAAGCTTTTATTCAGTTTTCTTGCTCTTCTCTGCCCTTTCCCATTTGTTCACAGCTGTCAAAATGCATTGCCTAGAACTGACCACAGTAGTCAAGTGAAGCTTTAAATGACTGACACTTTGGAGGATATTATTAGGATTCAGAATGACCTTGTTAAACTGGAAAAATGGTGCAAAATTAATTAAATGAAATTTAGTAACTATGAGTGCAAAGCCCTGTACTTAGGATAGAACAATCCCATGCACAAATATGCACCATAGAATGATTTACTAGGATCAGCAGGTCAGAAAAAGACCTGAGATTTATAGTGGTTCCTATATAATAGACAAGACAACAAGCAGTAGGCTTAAATTGCAACAAGTAGTGGCAAAACATAGCTGGTGCATGGGGGTGCACATGCACCCCCTGACAGGCAGCGCT